TCCTCCTCTTCTTCTGGCAGTAATAGTATTAAGGCTGCATATACCTTGGGCTCTGAGGTTCCCTTGGACAGTAGACGGAGGGGTAGAACCTACGGTTTCTGACAGGCCTTCTGGATGTTCTAAAGGGGCAGGTGTGTTTTGCTTCTGCCCCGTTTACGAGGTAACAGCTTTCAGGTGATCCATATATTTGTTCAGGACTGTCTCACTTACCTGAACTTTGTAAGTCACGGGACCTGAGCTCGCGTCAACATTGCCTTGCACCCATACAGGGTCATTCCCATGGTTCCAGCACCAAACTTCATCCCCTAAATTAGATGGAATCTTTCACTTAGAGGGGACATGTGGCTGGCCTTGGTGTTCCTGCTGCTGTTTCAGCAACTCTGCTGGAGCTATCCTTGTTGCATGAGGGGTGGCCCTATAATTGAACAGGAAATGGGACCATTTAGTATTCAAGGAAGCTGTAGGCTGCTTTTTTTAAGCCTGCCGTCAACATTTGGACTGCTCTTTCTGCTAGACTATTGGACAATAGATGTTATGGAGCTGTCCTTGCATGCCGAATGCCATTCGAATTTAGAAAATACTTGAATTCCCTGCTGTAAATGACACCCCATTGTCCATCTGGGAGTCCATGTATCGCGAACGATGCTCCCATCCCTGAGTAGTCATTCCTGAGTTTGCTGAACAAAATTTGTGCACGTCCAACCGCTTTGAATGGCCGTCCATGATGACCAAGAACATTAAGCCCATAAAGGACTGATGCAGTGGATATGCAACCAAGTCCAGGTATTACCCAAACTATTCTCATGAATGTGGGGGCAAAAAATGTTGAGGCAATCTAGCTGAGTCTTTCTCAACCGATTCCTCCCCAATAGGTTTGGGCCCGAGCCTTTTACTACCATCAGTGGTAACTGCACCGACTGCTTCTCCTCATAGGAAACCAGAATCGAAGTTGTACCCTTAATTTTCAACGGTTCCTCAGCGTGAGTTCTCAGTCTAGGTGAGGCCTTGCAAAAACTTAAAGGTTGGAGACCTGAGTGAATCTTGTTAAAGACAAGCTCTGCAACCATAGATATGGCTGCGCTGGTATCGACCTCCGTGGAAACTGGGTGACCATTTAACCAAACATTAATTTTAATCAGTTCTTATTTGGAAGTTGCTAAGCAATTTAATTGTTCCAACCCACATGTCGGAGGGTGAGGTGGGGGGGTGGGGTGGTCTTTCCAGGGTGCACACTCTTCTGGGTACCGGCCTACATTTTTTTTACTCAAATCAGACCTCGTGAGACTCCTTTGCTGTCTCCAGTCTGCATACTGGTGACAACGACGATGGCTTGCTGGCCCAGATCCTGAAGAACATTTAGCCACTTGGCTGAGGCTGATCTTTGTTGTGGGATTCTGCTGTGGGCTGGCCTAGGGTCTCTCTGCTCAGGACATGCCCTGCATGAGGCTGTGTGATTGCTGACACTTAAGTGGTGTTTCCCAAGCTCAGTCAGATAGTTGAGGGTATCCACTTCCATTGGGATGCTGTGTAGTTCCCATGCTCCACTTGCTGCATTTTCTAATGACAAAGCCAGTTTAGTGCCTGTTTGAAGTTCAGTTCGGCTTCAGCTAGTAGGCGCTTCTGCAAGGTTACATCATTTATCCCACATACCAAATGGTCCATCAGCATCTCATTCAGGGTTAACTGAAAATCACATGCACCTTCCAGTCGCCTTAACCTTGTCAAAAATCCCGATACGGATTCCCCCAGTTCTGTAACAGCCAAATAAAACCGACAGCGTCTCAGAATTGGAGGAGGTTTGGGGTCATAATATTCTTTAACCAACTCAGTTAACTCTTGGAAGATTTTAATGTCTGGTGCCTCTGGGAACTTTAAGCCCCATATGACCAAAAATGCTGCAGGTCTGCAAGCAGTCAGAAGGATTACTCGTTGCTTTTCGTCTGCCCCAGTGTCATTTGCCTAGGAAAAAAAATGCATTATTTCCACAAACTGGGTCCTGTCTTCAATGGCAGACAAGTAAAGCTTCCCAAATAAAGACATGATGCCAGAAATGCTTACCCTAACTCCATGATTACTGTTGCGAGCGAATGTTCTTCAGGCACGTACTGTTTTCTCCTGTCACCACTGAAATAACTGCACAGAGGCCGGAATCCTGTCACCAAGTCACCCTTTATTTATTTGTGCACAGTATACTGGCTGTGGCCACCTGCTCGGGTCAGTCCCCTGAACTGAGGAGATTCTAAATCTCCTGTTTATATTTGTTTATTTAACCTATTATCCTAATTAACCTATTCAGCGATGTTATTAAATACCTTTGAAGCAGGTGGACTTGAACCTGGGCCTTCTGGTCCAGAGGTAGGGATTCTACCACTATACCACAAGAGGGCCCATTAATTCCTGTTTGTATTGGTCAGCCAGAGCTTCCTGATTGGTGATTTTAACCTGGGTCAATCATAGATCTCGTAGTCAACAAGACCCACTTGGTTCCAATCACTACAAATGTATTTTGGAAGCCCTTCTAAGTCTCCCATTGGGGCCCAGGAAATACTAATGTGGCAAATCTCAATTACTACCTCATGGTGGTTCATGGAGGATGATAGTGAAGGTAAGAGCCCAAAGGAAGAATTCAAGAAATTTTGCTAAATTGGATTCACAATTGGCTGAGTGGCAGAAAGGTGATGGTTGAGGGATGTTTTAGTGACTGGAAGCCTGTGCCCGGTAGGGTTCCTCAGGGATAAGTGTTGGGGTCTTGCTGTTTGTGGTTTATATAAATTATTTAGACTTGAATGCGGGGGAGGTTGATCACTAAGTTCACAGATGACCTAAAAATTATTGGGATGGTTGTAGTGAGGAGGATAGCCTTAGATTATAGGAGGATATAGAGGAGCTGGTCAATTGGGCCGAAACAAAATTAGAAAGTGCTGGAGAAACTCAGCAGGTCCAGCAAAATCTGTGGAGAGGAATCCAGAATCAAGTCCAGTAGGACTTCAAGTGTTAACTCAAGTGTTTTTCTTTCCACAGATTCTGTAACACTTTGATGTTGTTTCAGATCTCCAGCATCCATGGTTCTTTATCCTATTTTGGTCAAATGGACTGATCAGTAGCAAATGAAACTCAGTTGGGATAAATGTGAGATGAGGCAGTTGGGCAGGACGAGCAAGGCAAGAGAATGCATGATGAACAATAGGACTCTGGGAAGCACCCAGGATCAGAGGGACCTTGGTGTACTTATACACTGGTTCGTTAAGGTATCAGGACAGGTGAATAAAGTGTTTTAAGGAGGCATATGGTATACAGTGGAGGCATAGAGTTTAAGAGCAGGGAGGTTATGCTAGAACTGCATGAAACATTGGTTAGGCCATAGCTGGAATGTTTGTGCAGTTCTGGAATCCAGATCATTGCACTGGAGAGAGTACGACAGAGCTTTACCAGCATGTTGATTGGCCTGGAGAATTTCAGTTAAGAAGAGAGGTTAGATAGAGTAGGGCTGTTTTCCTTCGAGCAGAGGAGACTGAATGAGGATATGATTGAGATGTATAAAGTTATGAGGGGCATAAAATGGATCTTTTCCCTTTGGTTGAGAGGTCAATGATTCTTGATGATTTTGAGAGTCTTTGTTAAATTGCCTTTAACGGTCTTCAGTCCAATGAGAACAATCACAGCTTCTCCATCATCTCTCACTATTATAGTTTACTGTGAATAAGCCTGGCTATTCTTGTAGCTCCTTTTCAAATTGCCCCCATTTACTGCCTTTTTCATTCTTCCTAGCAGAAATTGATCACTTCACACTTTGTTGTCCTTTGTCTGTGTCTTCCTGAAGTCTGTTGTTATCTTCCTCAGCCTTTATATTATATTTCCAAGCTCCATGTCATTGCAGGGTGGAACGGTGGCTCAGTGATTAGCACTGCTGCATCACAGCGCCAGGAACCTGAGTCCGAGTCCACCCTCGGTCAACTGTCTGTGTGGAGTTTGCACATTCTCCCCGTGTCTGCATGGGTTACCTCCAGGTTCTCCAGTTTTCTCCCACAGTCCAAAGATGTGCAGGTTAGGTGGATTGGCCATGCTAAATTGCCCATTGTGTTCAGGGATATGTAGGTTAGGTGGGTTATAGGTGGATGGGTCTGGATGGGATGCCTCTGAGGGTTGGCGTGGGCTTGTTGGGCCAAAGAGCCTATCTCCACTCTGTAGGGAATCTGATTATGTTCATCTTGAAATTATTTGTAAATCCAAGACATTAATATACCAAAAAGAATATTGTTCTCAATGACCCCTGGAAAACGCTTCAGAGAAAGGGTCCCAACCCGGAACGTCAGCTTTCCTGCTCCTCTGATGCTGCCTGGCCTGTTCACCACTACTTTCTGCTTTCTATCTCTTCATCAATTCTATGTTCATGCTGTCACTATCCCTATAAACATTACTCATCCTGTGGCCTTCAAATGTAGGTAACCAAGCTTCATGTGGTATTTTATTTCATGTCTTTTGAGCATGATATTCCATTAACAAATTTTAGGCTGTCGTGTCATTCATTCATTGTAATTATATCACCACCACTGATATTAGGCTGACCCAGAGAGTAGTCACCTCATGTATAATCTCTTTTCTTGAAATTGCAATCCTCCAATCCTGGGAAACTGCTGCCATAAGCAGAATTGAAGGAAAGAAAAAGTTTTGAATTTCTATAGCGTCTTTCACAAACTTAACCCAAAACATTTCACAGCCAATTAAGTAGTTTTGAAGAGTAATCACAGTTATAATGTTGGAAACATGGCAACTCCTACAAACAGCAGTGACATTACAATCACATGTAGTGATTGTTGAAGGACAAATAGTGGTTAGGACTGCACTAGAGCATCAGCCTAGATTTTACACTCCATTTTCTGGAGTGGGATTTGAACCCACAAACTTCTGACTTCGATGGGAGTGCTTGCACTTAGCTTCGGTTAATATGTCAGCCAAATTATTAATCTTGACACTGATATGCTCTGATTTTCTTATTTCAGAGAACAGCATTTAACTAATGAAGACATGAACTTAACTGTAAGTGATACAAGAGAAACATTCTCAGCATTGAGAACAGAATTGATTCTTCTTTTCTTTCAAACAGGATGACGACCAGCTGCTGGAAAATAGCGTAAAGCAGGAACGATACTGCATCAGACATCGCAACGAACATGTAAAGAAGACTATAAGGAAACAATATGAAGCGAAATGGACTAAACAGATGGTATGTGCTATCACTTTGGTGTTTCTACTCAGTGCAATCCATGCTGATCTGGTACAGCTCAGGGCCTAAAGGAAGATACTGTTCTAAACAAAAGGGTTTGCAGAGGTCCAGCTGAATACTGCTCAGCCACAATTAACATCACAGTGTCACCTAACAAATAATAGTATGAGCACTAAATAGACAGGGCACAATATGACACCCTGGGTCGAATTTAATGCCCTCTCTGTGATGGGTTTATTGGTGGGGGTGCATTTAATCTGGCAGGAGCTTGGTGTTTAGGGATTAAGTCCATGATGTAAAAGCATCATCCACCTGCCATTGCTTTCATCTGCTAATAGCCACCCTCATGCCCTTGCTGACAACTCCTTATCCCCCATGACTCCTGCCCACAATACTCCTTCCTCTATTATTCAGCTGTGCCTGTGTCCCTGGCAGTACTAGGCCTCAAGTGGGTGTAGTACAGTTGTTTTATTATTCATATAGAGCTGGGACATTGTTGTATTATGGATATATATTTAGTGTGGTCAGTAACGAGCACAGTCAGTTGAAGGACTTTGCCTGTTTGAAAGAGATATACAGTGAGTAAATCTGGGTATTTGGTTCAAAGTGGGATGTCAGTGCAATGGGAGGAAGAAGTGTTTTAAGTAATGTTTACTGCAGGAAGTTGTCTCGAGAGAAAGAGGTAAGTGGAGGAGGATGAAAGATATGGATCAAGAATCCATCACAGTGTGATACCAGTGGCTGAGTAATGTTATAAATCGCAATGTGATGTGAGTTCAGGGAAGGCAACCAATTTTTGAGTATTTCTAGACTTAAAGATCTCTAGTTTTTTTTTAATAGAACATAAAACAGTACAGCACAGGAATGGGCCCTTCGACCCACAATATTGTGCCAAACCTGATGCCAAATTAAACTAATTCCTTCTGCCTTGATCCATATCCCTCCATTCTTTACGTATTCATATGCTTATCTAAAAGTCACGCAGACACAGGGAGAATGTCTGTGTGGAGTTTGCACAGTCGCCCAAGGGTGGAATTGAACCCAGATTGCTGGAGGCAGCAATGCTAACCACTGAGCCACCGTGCTGCCCCTCCAGAGATTATGGACATTTCCTCTACGTTGGATTGATCGATTGAATCATTTCGTGTATTGACTATTCAATATAAAATACCATGAAAATTTTATACCATTGCCATGAATCAGCGCATTTCTCATTAACAAAATAAAAATAAAGAAAGATAACTTAAAGAGAGTCCATTTTTTCCTTCTCTGCTGCTGTAGTCCTGCTCTGGTCTTCAACCCATTCCACTCCACTAAACAGCAAACACACCTACGACACGGCTTGTGTCCCTGGATGAGGAATCCCGCTGAAATTATGGGGGGAATGAGAAGGAACATCTCAACAAATGTGAGGCTATTTTGCTTAAATTGCAAGAAAGTAATAAGTTGATGAGATTTCTGATCATTGTTTCTGTCTCTAATTATTGAACTAGGGAGCAGACATTTTGAAACAACTTTTCTCATTTCAGATTTTTATTTTCAGACAAAAGGATCTACACAATTGGAGTTTTCAAAAGATGATCTGTGTGTCTACACTGTGAGCTCAAAACAATATTGGAAGTCAAATAATGAAACATTAAGCCACATTGCTGCAGAAACAGGTTTGTGTGACCTTTGTGTTATTCTCGGTCCTGTAAAGCTATATTGGATAATGACCAAGTTTGCTGAATTAATGAAAATACGAACTTTTATTCTGAAACTGTGGCTTCATCTTGAGGTTCCACAAGAGGCAGTAAGATCACCTAATGTTGCATCACTTCCTGAGATGATGTTTATTGTGTCTCATTAGCAAATCAAAAGCTAGAATTAATCTCCTCCCTTCTTGCATCCACCCTCCTCAAGTCTCCTCCTTCCATTTCACTTTATGGAGGCAGATACTGTTTGATACCAGAATAGGTCTCTGCTCCTTTAAAGGGATTTGAGCCCAATGTGTGGTCTGTCAGACTCTGCTGAGTAGGATTGGAATCAGCTGATGACTCTAGTTTACCAATCAGGCTGTCATCTGGATTCGTAGATGAAGGCAGCATCTCTGCTCTGTTTGTTTGATTGAATACAAGACTGCTTCATAGAATCCTGACAGTGTGGAAAGAGACCATTCAACCTATAGGTTCTATATAGAGAATCCGCCCCCGCTCCCCACCCCGACCCTATATTGACCATGGCTAACCCACTTACTGTGCTCATCCCTGGACACCTATGGGATTATTTACCATGGCTAATCCATCTAACCTGCACATCTTTGGATTGTGGGAGGAATCTGGAGCACATGGTAGAAACCCACGCAGACACAGGAAGAATGTGGAACTCCACAAAGACAGTCACCCAAGGCTGGAATCAAACCTGGGTCCCTGGCGCTGTGAGGCAGCAGTGCTAACCATTTAGCCAACATGCTACCCATAATGGGATAAAAGGTTACGTTGGTGTAGCAGCCAGGCCCGTTCCATCTCCATTTATCATTTTTGGTTTGGATGAGGTAGGACTGAAAAGATGATGCAAATCCAAACTGGCTGTCTTAGTTGGAGGTCCAGTAGTTTGCAAGTTTGTGACATTTTTCATAGCCCCTCATCTGACTGAAATTATATTTATCCTCTTTCTCTAATTCATTGTCCTGTAACAGAGCATGCACGTATGTGGGAGACCAGGGAGCTCTCAGTTGTCTTCTTCCTTCTAGATACTTTTGTAGTGAATATGAGTGATAGCTCAGAACTACAAACTGGATGTTATCATTCCTTTTAGCAAAGCTTTCAGCTGTACACACTCATCTTTCAGCTTCACCATTGACTTGAGGAATCCTGGTAAGCTGGTATAATGGACAAACCCATATGATGTTATAGTCAAAGTATTCATTGATAAAATGTAAGCCATTATCTGAGATGACTTGGTCTGCATTCTCTTTGTTGCAAAGGTCTCCTTCAGTGATGTACTCACTGCTTCAGATATGCTGTGTTGTTTGACTTTTATTCATCTGAAGTAATAGTCTACTGCAACCAAGAATGTCTTCTTTTTTCTTCAAAGAAGCTTGTCCCAAGATGTTTCCATCAGGGCACAGAATAATATTTTATGTTCAAAAGCTCTTTTAAAGACGTTCTCTTAGGAACATAGATGCAGCCAGGAGGCTGTTTGGCCCTTTGGGTCTGTTCCACCATTTTTTAAGATCGAGTTGTGGTCATTACTTTCCTGCCTTTGATTCCGGTATGGATCAAGAATCACTCCAACTCATCCTTGAATACATGTAAAGACCAAGCCTCCATTATCTTTCAGGGAAGAGAATTCCACACTCTAATGACACTCTAAGAGAATAATTTTTTCCATCATCTCTGTCTTTTTCTTAAACTGTGTGGCTTAGTTTTGGTTTGCCCAGAAGAGAAAAGATTGACTGAGTATCCAGATTATCCAGTCCCCTCAGGATCTTGTATGTTTCAATTAGATCACCTCTCATTCTTCTAAACTCCAATGGGTATGTGTCTGACCTGTTCAACCTTTCTTCATTAAATTATCCCAGGAATGAGTTGAATGAACCTTCTTTGCACTGCTGCGAAAGCAATTGAATCTTTTCTCAAATGAGAAGAGCAAAATTATATAATGTTCCAGACATCATCTACCAAGGTCCTATAAAACTGCAGTAAAATTTTCTTACTCTTATATTTCATTCCACTTGAGACAAACAACATTTCATTCAGCTACCTTGTCACAAATTAACTTTGTGATTCACGTACCAATACACCCAGATCCCTCTGCACTACAGAGTCATGCAATCACTCTTCATTTAATAGCATGTTACTTTTCTATTCTTCCTGTCAAACTGAACAAGTTCATGTTTACCCACATTACCATCTGTCAACGTTTTTGTCCATTCACTTAACCTGACTATATGCCTTTGCATACTCTTTACCCTCACTTAACACTTTACTTTCCTACCTATCTTGGTGTCATTGGCACAATTAGTTACCTCCCCTTTAGTCCTGTCATCTAAATCATTGATATAGATTGTAAATATAGTTGAGAACCCAGCACCAAAGTCTCTACAGCTGGTCAAACTTAAAATGACCATTTTATCTCCAAACTTTGCTTTTATGTTATCTAGTCAATCCTTTATCGATGCTGTTACGTTACCCCAAACATTATGTGATTTTGTGCACGTATCCCTTTGATATGACAACTTATGCAGAACATAGAACTATTTAGCACAGGAAGAGGCCCTTCAGCTCATGGTGTTGAGCAAACAGTACGCCTGAACTTGGTCCACACCCCTCCATTCTTTTAAAACCCCAATCATATCTACCTCCACCATCACCCCTGGCAGGGCGTTCCATACACTTACCATTCTGTGTAAAAACGTTTCCCCTCACGTCTCCTTTGAACTTCCCCCCTCACTTTAAATAAATGCCCCCTACTATTAGACATTTCAACTCTGGGAAAAAGATTATGACCGTCAACCCTATTTATGCATCTGATAATTCTATAAACTGCTATCAAGTCTCCCCTCAATCTCTGCCACTCAAGAGAAAACAAGCTAAGTTTTTCTAGCCTCTCATTGCTCAAACTCTCTAATCCAGGCAGCATCTTGGCAAATGTTTTTCTGCACCCTCTCCAAAGCCTCCACAATCTTCCTGTAATGTTGTGACCAGAATTGAACGCTGTACCCTAAGTGTGGCCTAACCAAAGTCTTACTAAGCTGCAACATGACATCCTGACTCTTGTAATCAGTTATCCGACAAATAAAAGCAAGCGTGCCATACACCTTCTACACCACCCTATCTACTTTCGTGGCCGTTTTCCAGGAGCTATAGACTTGAACCCCAAAATCTCTCTATACATCAATGTTGTCCAGGATCCTGCCATGAACTGTACACTTTTCCTAAACATTTTATCTCCCAAAGTGCTGCACCTCACACTTACCTAGATTAAACTCCATCTGCTCATATCTGCAACTGATCTATATCCCGCTGTATCCTTTGTCAAAGTTCTTCAGTATTCACAACTGTGATGATCTTTGTATCATCTACAAACTGACTAACCCATCCATCTATATTTTCACCCAAGTTATTTATATACATACATCACAATCAGCACAGGTGCCAGTACGGATCACGTACTAGTTACGGACATCCAGCCTGAAAAACACCCTTGCACCACTCCCCTTTGCCTTCTATGGGCAAGCTAGTTCTGAATCCATGCAGCCAAGTGACCATGGACCCCATGCATCTAAATCTTCTGGATGAGCATTCCATGAGGGACCTTGTCGAAAGCCTGACTAAAATCCATGTAGACAACATCCACTGCTCTACCATCATCGATTAAATTTGTCACCTGCTCGAAAAATTCAATCAAGTTAGTAAGATGTAACCTGCCCTGCACAAAGCCACACTGACTGTCCCTAATTAGGCCACACTTCCTAAGCAGGTAAATTCTGTCTCTAAGAATTCTCTCCAATAACTTCCCAAACACCGATGTGAGACTCGCTGGTCTATAGTTTTCTGGATTATCCCTATTTCCCTTCTTAAACAGACGAACAACATTAGCTACTTGCTGCAGGACTTCAGCAGCGGCTAATGAGGATACAAAGATCTTGGTCAAGGCTCCACAGTCTCCTCTCTTGCCTCTCTCATTAACCTGGGGTGATACCAACAGGCCCCGGGGCCTTATCCACCTTAATGCTCTTCAAGAAATCCAACATCACTTCTTTGTTGATCTCAAAATGTCCTAGTGTATTAGTATGAACCAGAGTAATCTTACGTATCCTTCTCCTGGGTGAATACCAATACAAAGTACTTATTTAGGATCTCACCCACATCCTCTGCCTCCAAGCATAAGTTCCCTCCTTTATCCTTGAGTGGACCTACCTTCTCCCTATTTATCCTCATGTTTTAATGTATGTATAGAATGTTTTGTGAATTTTTTTTAGCCTACTTTCCAAGGTCATTTCATAGCCCCTTCTTGGTCTCCTAATTTCCTGCTTGAGTTCTTTCCTGCTTTCTTTACGTTCCTCATGGGCCCTGTCTGATTTTAGCTTCCTAAATGTTACATAGCCCTTTTTTTCCCCTTTTGACTAAATTCATATTGTCCTTCATTACCGAAGTGTCCCTTACCTTGCCATCCTTGTCCTTCCTCCTTACTGGAACATGCTGGTCGTGAACTCTCATCAGCAGGTCTTTAAACAATTCCCACATGTCAAATATGGACTTGCCTGATAACAGCTCCTCCCAATTAGCGCTCCCTAGCTCCTGCCTAATGCGGGCATACTTTGCCCTCCCCCAATTTAGTACCTTGTCACAAGGTCCTGACTTATCCTTATTCAGAGCTATCTTAAAACTTAAGGAGATGTAATCACTGTTTCCAAAATGCTCTTCCACTGCAAGGTCAGTCATCTGGCTGGGCTCATTAGCCAATACAAGATCCAGCATGACCTGTGCTCTAGTTGGACTATCCACATACTGTTTCAAGAAACCCTCTTGGATGCACTTCACAAATTGTTTCCCATCTAAGCCTCTTGCTGTAATGGAGTCCCAGTCAATATTGGGGAAGTTAAAGTCACCCACTATGACTACTGTGTTATTACATCTTTCATCTGCCTACATATTTGTTCCTCAATGTCTCGGTG